GGTGCGGTGCGGGGTGCCCCGCGGGATCTGCGGCCGCGCGGCCCCGAGTCGGAGGTGCGGGCAGCGCCCAGCTGTTAATAGCGCCCAGGGGGGCCGCGGATTGGCTGGCGGGAGGGGCGGGACACGCCCCCCGCACCCGGACCCGCCCCCGCCCGCGACGGCCAAACTCGGGATAAGTTTGGTCGGGACAAGGCGGGGGGAGGGGTGTCCCGGGGGTGCAAGGGCAGCGTCTGGGAGACAGACGGGGGGGCAAAGTGTGCGCATCAGTGCATGCGCTGGCGGGGTAGGGACATGCCTGTGCTAGCGTGTGTGTGAGAGTGTGCAAGTGACAGTTGTGTGAGTGTGTGTATCAGTCCTTAACTATTATTGTGTGTGTGTATCAGTGATCCTCAACCATTATAGTGTGTGTGTGTATGTGAGACAGAGTGTCTCTGCTGGGGGGTAGGGACACGCTTGCGTTAGCAGTAGTGTGTGTGCGCGCCCAGAGGCAGACATGTGAGTGTGCAAGTAATTGTGTGTGTATCAGTCCTCAACCATTATAGTGTGTGTACATGCACATGGGGGAGGTAGGGATGTGCCTATGCCAGCAGCGCGCGTGTGTGTGTGAGAGAGAGTGTATGCAGGCAGGCATGTGAGTGACAGGGTGTGAGGAGGTGTGTGTGTGCACACGCCAAGGGCAGGAGTATGCGTGTGCAAGCAGCCATGGGCGCGTGTGTCCGACTGTGCCTGTGAACAAGCACAAGGGTGCCAGCAGGAATGTGCGTGTGCTGGGATGTGTGAGCAGGCCTGCATGGACGTGTGAAGAAAACGTGTGAGGGGTGTGCAACAGAGGGGAGCAGTCCTGTGCCCTCAAGCCCAGGCCCGCGCCCCTCCCAGGTCATGGATCCAACCTCATCCATGGCCTGCCTCGTTCAGTGACGGGCGTGTGTGCACGGGGAGGGGGGCACACTGCAGGGCCCCGCTCTGCCCTTTGGGGCACGCGTGCAAGGGAGGACACACTTGCGATGACTCTGCCCCGAGGCCCGTGCCATGCAGGACTGCCCCATCCACCGTGCCCGGGGCGCTGGAGCAGGGCGCACACGGGGGCTGGGGGGACCAGCGTCTGCCCGGCTCCCCCGGGGCCACGCTTGGCCTTGGCCCAGGCGCTACCGGGAACAGTTTTACTGTTGGGCTGGTCCCAGAGCGATAGCTCTTATCTGCGCCAGCCGCTGCGCTGTGGGGCTTCCCATCTCGTTACCTTTCTAAGAACTCCCCCGCGAGCCTGTGCTGCCCCGACGCCAGGAGACTGTTTAAAAATACGGATGATAAACACGGCGGGGGGGACAACACCGGTGCATGCCGCCTGCCCCGGCCCCCAAAGCTGCCCTACCAGTTGCTTTCATCCCAGGCCTTAATTATAAGGGTGGAGCATTGCAATAAATAATGTCAGCAATCTGGAGGAGCAACTACTATGCAAATCTTTCCTCTTTTGCCAAGAATCCCTGCCCTGGTTTAAAAAGCAGCTGGTGGAGGCGCCCCCCCTCCCCTCGCCCCTGGTTGTTTCGGGAGGGGGCTTTCTTATCTAGGATAAATGGCTTGCACGCTGCAAAGGCCTCCTCTCCCCCCTCCCCACCCCAGGGAGCTGGCTCTGGGCTTCAAAGGCAACAAGTGCTCCAGAGGCCCTAGCAGCT